TTCTTAATATAAATGGGTAGGAAGTTTAGGTAGAACTGATGTGAGATAGAAAGGAAACCCATGGAACTCAGATAAAAGATGAGAACTGTATGAGAACACATACAAAAATAAGAAATGAGAACATGGTAGCATAGGAGAGAAAGAAAAGAGTCTACATACGGAAAAGCAGAAGAGCACAGATCAAATCAAGGAATTTGAAATTTGAAATGGAATTAGAGACTGTCAAGTTCTACCAATCCAGTCACTTCAGGGTACACAGCAAGCAGTCTGGTGAAGCACTGATTTTGGTGATCTGGATGGGCCTTTCCACTGTTGTAGATGGGACAGAGGAGAAAACAGATTAGAGATGCAAATGTGAGAGAAAGATGAATCAGAGCTGAAGGGGAAATGAAAAACCCTGAGAGTGGCATGAGGTTGTGGGACACTGTGGGGTTTCTTGAGAGGGAAGTGGGCAGTGGGTGGGGTTTCTCCTTGTGGGAAGGGAATGACAGATCACAGTGTGGGATGGTGTGGGAGGGGGTATGGTATCAGAGTCTCAGAAGAAGCTCCATCTGCCAAGGGACGAAAGCATTCCTTGGAGTAGATTCAGGGAGGGTCACAGAAGAGCTCAGGCAAAAGTGAACATGGAGATACCTGTGGTACCCATACAGCAGCTCAGGGAAATTGGTGAGAAAGGAAGAATACTAGGCTCCCCCAGGTAGCTGAGATCCTCTGCTGTGACTGGATGCTAATACAGTATGTCCTACTCTTTTCAGATTTCCCTTTTAGGATTTGGGTTATCCAGAGGTCCTATATAATACATTTATTTTGTCCTTATAGCATTTTATACAAATTTCAGATTTGAAGACCTACAAATATTCCCTACCATAAATAGGCTGCTAGTTTCTGCTTGTATAGCACCCTTTCCTCTCCCTTTAGGGGGTTAATATAAAAAAACCTCTAAATATGAAAGTGATATACTTAGGTGTCTGTGTTATTTTCATCAAGGCAATTAAAGTATTTTAAGAAGGAGACTGATGTCATCAAATTTACTGTTTTTTTTTCTTTTTTTTAGACTGGGTCACACCACATAGCCCAGGCTGGTGTCAGATATAATAATCCTCCTGCCACTGCCTTCAGTGGGCTGGGATTACAGTCATGTGCCACTGTGACTGGAATGTTCACATTTGACATAGCAACTCAGAAGCAGAGAGCTGAGCAGTTGTATCTGTAATATTCAGATAGCATACTGTGGTTTTGACCTGTGTCCTTCACAATGAAAGCAGATTGTCAGTGAGACTAGACAAAAAAGGCAGATTTCAGAAGTGGAAAGAGTTGATGTGATGACCGTAGGTGTAAAAGGAGGCAAGTTTTCAAAGAAAGCGGTTTTCTAATATCTGTCTGACTGGATGGGTGTTATGACAAGGGCAAGGGTGACACTACCCTTGTGGTTGTCTTGAGACAGAATTTTTCCTAAGTGCTTTTTTTTTTTAAAATCTCATTTTGCACCTTTTCCTCTGAGAATGAATTATCTCATTAGTGCATTCAGGAAAGAGAGCTGTTCCCCCCAATCTTGTTCCCCTGTAGCAAGCTGCTCTCAGATTGTATCTTCTGCCCTCCCCTTCCTGTTCTCTTCCTCCTTTCACTCCTCCTTCTTCCTCTGTTCCCTGATGCACAGGGGCAACCCCTTAGGTGGGCAGACTCAGGTGGGGTTTTCCAGCACTACTACAATTAAGTGAGTGTCATTAGTCTCCTCAGGATGCTATGAAACAATACAGTAACTTAGTTGTGCAGTTCAAAACAAAAAAAAATCATTTTTGTCAATTACGATAAGTAGAAGTTTATGATCAAGGCTGTGGCACATTCAGTTTTGCACAAGTGCAATCTTCTCGGATCATAGACAGATGGTTGCTTACTGTCTGCCGATATGGCTTTTCTTTGATGAGTGAGTGAATGCAAACAAGCACACACACAAATGCAAGCATACACACACACAGGAGAGGGAGAGGGGGGAAAAGAGGAATATTGAGTGGGCACAAATTCTTTTGTGTTTACTTTTGATTTTTTAATGCTATTTTCCAATTAAGTTACATTTCCAGTCCTTTACTTGGAAAAATGTCCTCATTTAGTTGCGCAGGCTGAGTTTGAATTTGAGATCCTCCTGCATCAGACTCCAAAGAAATGCAGTTACAGTGGGATTGTAGGCTTTTGCCTCAAGACATGGCCAGTGTCTATTACAATTAGTATAATAATGCTTACTCAGTTGGATCAGGGCCCCATCATTGGTATTTCATTTGTCAGTTTCTTACTTTGCATGTCCAACTTAATCCTATTGTTATGAGGTTTAGGAATTCAACATATAAGTTTTGGTGAAAGACACATAATCACAAACATAATGGTGAGTATGATCACTCCATCTGGGGATTGATCCTAGTTAGATCACCTGGGGTATACAGGCAAACAATTGAGACTGATAATTTATTCGATCTACCTCATGTTGTCTTTATGATACTAGGTTCTTAGCAAGAAAGGGAAGGATGCCATCACTCATTCTATGTATCTAGGCAGTATAGCTAGGTTATGTGGTGGTTATAAACAAAGTTTAGAATTGCACACCACAATGTAGTTCATTAGGCAAACTAAAAGACAATAGTGCAGAGCAAGAAGATCAAATGGAATATCTGAAATGGTTGAGTCCGAAGAGGTTTCATGGTTTCAGCATCTTACACACCACAGCCCAGAGCTCAGGAAAACTGTGCTCCTCCTGAGAACTATAGAGAAGAGAAATATATGTGACAGCAGATACTGTGTACCTGCTATCACTTCGTAAAACCTCAAACTAAGAACTTACCATTGGCAAGCTGAAATCTGGTGCTGGTGAATGATTTGAAGATTTAAATTACGCACTGTTCTTTAAGGTCTTTGTACTCATGGAGGCTGGAAGATATTTTTGGCTATAATAGGAACAGTTTATTGTAAGTTACTTCCAACCTTTTTATTAATACAGACAAGTTTGAGTATGATACTTGTTTATTAAAACATCATGTTTTACACAGTAAATATATACAATAAAATAAATGGGTTAAAAAGAAAGTGTCACAAATGTGATTTTAATTTTTTTATTGCAAAGAGGAAATAACCAAGGAATAACCAAAATAAAACAAAGTGAAATCAATCAAAGTAAACCAGAACAAGAGATACAGGATTTCCAAACCTTATGTAATTAACAATAGTTACCACAGTGCTTTTATTGTCTTCAGAATAGCTGCAAATACCACATTTACACATATTAAAAATTGAACAGAACAGAATCAAATACAAACAATAAAAACAAGACAATTAATACAATAAAGGACATCAAAACAAGCCAGTAATAAATGCATAATGGCTTCTATAACATGTATGGCTATCTTTTAAATAACTGCTCATGCCATCAGAATTAACATAAATAAAACAAAAGAAAATAAAAACCCAACTCCTTCTCCCCCCAACAATGAAAATGATATGGTTTCTGGGCAGGGATCTCCTCCCATGGGGCCTGGTTCTCTCCCTCTGCAGTCTGCAAATGGCACTGATCCCCACAGTGAGGCTTGGGTCTGGTTTTCTTCACACCAGCAGAGGTCCTTGCATGGCGCTGGTATCTGGGCAAGGATCTCGTCCCATGAGGCCTAGTTCTGTACCTCTGCAGGCCTTGAGTGGTACTGACTCACTGAGAGAGGGTTGGGTCTCACAAATGTGATTTTAAAATTTTCCCATTCCTGCATTCAGTGATTTTTTTCAGGGGGACACTATCGAAATAGAAGTATGCCTTGGTTTCAAAATGATTTTGGTTTCATTTGTCGATACACAGTAAGTAGACAGGATTCCTAACAACCAAGGATGTTTCATGATTACTTAAATACTTGAATATTCAGAAATGATGGTTTCTGCGAGTGTATCCATCACGTCACAAAATGTAACTTATGTGTGGAGTTTATGATCTCTGTTCATAGGCAGCCTATTATTCTTCAAAATTGCACACTGCACAGAAGTTAGTCCTCTGGGAAAAGTGCAGGCTGCTCCTCCAGGATTTTATCCTATGGACACTCCAGGAGTCAGAATGCACCTGGGCAGCTACATGACTTCTCTAGAAAACATTTTTGTAAATATATTTGTATCTAGTATTCTGTATACTAAAATGGAAAATATAATGACTTTTAGTTATCCATTTAACTATTTTTGTTGTTTGAAATATATTGGTAAGTGAAACTATATTGACAATATATTTATGTTCTTATACCTAGTAAGATACTTAATATCAATTAGAGATGAGCTGTTATTCTGGTGACAGACTATATGGATTAATCTCAATACTGGGTCATGAGACATACTATATTGTAGTCACATTATAGTCATATAGTATAGTATACTCATACTATAGTCATATAATACAGTATGACTGGTACAAATGGCTGCATTGTGAGAGCAAAAATAGATGCAATTAAAAAAAGCACCAATGAGAATTGAGAACTGAGAAAAGTGATAGAAGAAGGGATAAAATGGGAAAGAGAATCCTCAGAGGCTATTCAAATTGTAGAGAGATGCAGTGACCAGAAAAAGGGCATGATGGAGTTCAGAGGGATAGCTAAGTGGAAAACAAAAAGAACTGCAATCATTTAAAGCAAGCATACACAGAGAAAGATATGAAGTATGTCTCTGCATTTTATAGGTAAGATACAAGATCTGTAAATCTAAGTGACCCTTAAAAGCCTCATGCCACTTGTTCCAAGAACGGTTGATGTAGTACTATAAATAAGGAGCTTAGTGGAGAGGAGAGCAGTTCAGTTCCAGAGAGGAGAGAATAACTAGTTCAAGACAGAGGGGAAATGAGAGGCTGTGTAGGAGGCCCAAGGTTGAGGGAAGCTTCAGACTTTCTTGGTAGTCATCATTAGCTGGTGGAGGGGGTCCACTTCTGGTAGAAGAAAGTTATACCCCATAGAAAGGGTACATTTTGTTGAGAAAAGGAGACACCTATAGATGACATGCTGTTTCTACAATTTCTATTTCTAGATGTTGTCCTTGGAGGCAGTATCACTAAAAATGGTAAGAACATCTCTATCAGTTGTCCATTTGATTGGGTCTGGGTTGAGTTTTGCAAGCCTTCTTAACATAAGTTACTTAGAATGCTGGAAGTCTGGGAGTTTGAGCACCTGTCTCTTTTTTTTTTTTTTTTTTTTGAGGCTTCTGTTAGAGCAGGGGGTCTTTTGTAAGGAAAATGTTATTGCTAAGCTGACCATTATGCTTCTTCCTCTAGTAACTGGTTCATTTTTTTCTCTTCTTTTTCTCCTTTCTTTCCTCTTCTATATTCCTTGTACTGATTTAACTCTTTCCATAGTGGTCCAGGAAAATATTTCATTTTACTTAATGCAGATCTCATCCTATGCCAACCAATCCTGGGTTCAAAATTGTGGCTCTGGTTGGCTGGGTGAGTTGCAGACTCATGGCTGGGACAGTGAATCTGGCACAATAATTTTCCTGCACACCTGGTCCAGGGGTAACTTCAGCAATGAAGAGCTGGAAGATATACCGCTTCTATTTCATGTCTACTTTTCTGGATTATCTCTGGAAGTTCAAGACCGAGTCAGTCAATTACAAATCAAATGTAAGTGTAATCACCTTAACTAAGAGATTTCCTCAGGGTTCTATTTCTGGGAAATATTTCATATTTCTTGCTTGGACACATATGTTATCTCATCCCAAGAGAAAAGTTTGCATGCATAAATCTGTTAGGGTATATTTCCAAATATTTATTGAAAATTTCCAGGCTTTTGCTGCTTCAGCAATAGTTTTTATCTAAACTTTTCCACTGTGATCTAGGTACAAAGTTATCTGGTTCTGTAATTGATGTACTGCAAATACAGCTCTTCAATATCTCAGAAGTCTACATTCACGGTGTATGGACCATAGTGACCAATTTTATGTATCATGAAATGCCCTTCTATCTCCTTCAAAACAGTTCCTTCCACCTCTTACAGCTTAAGTTGCATAGCTCATGTATCATTTCTCCAAAATGTGCTCAGGTCAGTTTCGTGTAAATTGAAGATATTACCTTTTATTGATACCATTCTTCATCCCTAGCATATTTTCCTACCTTTGTTTCTAATTGTATATATGTTTAGTTCACATCTACATAAATTTTTTTATACTAGTTCTTGATCATCCCCTTAAATTCTCATATCATTGCTCTTACTTTCTTTATTTATCCCCTTATTTTCATTCCTTTCTTTCCCTAGATCCTTTTGACATACAGGCAAGAGCTGGCTGTGAGCTGCACTCTGGAGAGCCCCCAAAAGGCTTCCTCTATGGAGCTTTAAATGGATTAAATTTCCTGAGTTACCAAAACAAATCGTGGGTGCCATCTCCAGAGGGTGGGAATAGAGCCCAGAAGGTCTGTGACTTACTCAATACTTATGAAGGCATCAAGGAAACAGCATACCACCTCATCAGAGACACATGCCCCCGTTTTCTATTGGGTCTCCTGGATGCAGGAAAGATGGATCTTCAGAGACAAGGTCACTTTATCCCTTTCCTCTGAGATTGTCCTGTTAATGTCATGCCTCTTCCTGTCACTCTCTTCAATATTAGCATAGCAAAGAGGGTAAGAGGCACTGGTATGGCTGAGTGGTAGTTCCTAGAGGAGGAAAAATGGTAACTACATACTGACCTGGGTATCTGTGTACCTAAACTGTATATTTTTCCATTTCTGAGTTCTCTTTCTTCTCCATGCAGTGAGACCAGAGGTCTGGCTGTCCAGTAGTCCCAATCTCAAGCCTGGTCGACTGTTGCTGGCTTGTCATGTCTCTGGTTTCTACCCAAAGCCTATTTGGGTGATGTGGATGCGAGGTGCACAAGAGCAACTGGAAACTAAACAAGGCGATATTCTTCCACATGCTGATGGGACATGGTATCTTCGGGTGACCCTGGATGTGGCAGCTAAAGAGGCAGCTGGGCTGTCTTGTCGAGTGAGGCACAGCAGCCTGAGAGACCAAGACATCATCCTCTACTGGGGTAAGACTGGGGTTTAAAGGTGTGAATGGGTGGCCCTTGAGCATGAGGTAAGACAGAGGAAGGTTTGATTAGGCCAGATTTAGTTGAGGGAAGTGAAAAAGGCATGACCATGAGTAATTTCAGGAAGGGAGAAGTCAGGCCTGGGGAACACATAGATTCAAGACATTTTGGGGAAGCCAGAGAATCCTTCCTTGGGTAGGAATGGGAATAGAGTGACTGTAACAGGATGAATGGTGTGGCATTTACCCAGTCATATATTACTCAAGAAAACTAATGGATAGAGCACAACCAGTAGTAGATTTTAGATAATATGTATGTGTATTTCCTGTACCACAGGACATGGCCTTTCTGTGATCTTGATCACCTTTGCAGTGATAGTGCCCCTGGTGCTTCTGATTATTCTTGTGTTGTTGTGTAAGAAATGTTGGTGAGTTCTTTGTATTTACTCCTTACCTACCACTTTTTGTTCCATGTTTGTTATATTTGTTAGCTTTTCTTTTGCCATCTATCTTCGCTACTGTTCTCTCATTGCTAAGACATAATACCCAACACCCCAAATTAAGAAAGGAATGGTTTATATAGCTCACAATCTGTTGAGATTTCAGTCCATAATCAGCTGGTTCTAAGACAGGGGGCAACAATTTAAGGCAGTTGCAGACAGAAAAAGCAGCAAGAGAAAAATAAAGGTAAAGAGCCAGCCTGTTTTCCTCCCTTGTGTTTTACACAGGCCACCACCTCCAGGGTGGGAGTAGCACTCACAAAGTCTCTTTGCCTTCCTCTTCCTTGTTTGAGAAGTAAGGACCCTGGTTCCCTGCTGAGCTCCTTATACTTCTAAACTTCTCAAGTTGGCATAATGTATAAAAAATTCCACCATCTTCAATTTATCTAGTGTTTCTCCCATTTTTCCACAGCACATATCAGGGTATCCCATGAGATGACTGCTCCAGCCTGTTCCTTGGTAAGCCAAATTCCCAGAAGCTTTGGACAGCATGGTGATGACACCCTTTCTGCAATATGTTTGAGTTGTTTCTCTTTTTGCATACTAATTACTTGTTACTGTGGTCCAGATTCTGAAACTTGACAGGATAGCACTTCTGTTTCTGTCAGTTGTATTAAACCATTGATTGCCATTCCTGATTTAACTTTGTCCAGAGACCTTGCTGACCCTTGTGTATGAAGCAGCCTTTCTTTCCTATGGGCTCAGTGAGCCCTTCAACTGCACTCTGTTTCAAGCGTCCCTCTCTTGCTGCCTGAATTGCTGTTGCCCAGGTCTTCCTTCCTCTTTTTATTTTAAGCTCTTTGAGCGTAATGACCGTGGCAAGGGTGCCTTTCCTACATGCAATATATACTTAATGCGAAAATAAACAAATAAATACAAACCACCATAGGAATTTAGATTAACTATCATGTTGTTAGTTTTTCCCTTAGTTTTCTCTCTGATACTGTTGGAACATTTGAAACACTGATGCTCTTTTTTTTGGGGGGGGGTGTTTAAATGAATAACTTAACTGAGAAACTCTAGTATCCTTTTTATATTTGACTCACGTTCATCATAGAATTTTGAAGAAAAATGCAACTTAGTCTATTTTTTTATTAAAGGGAATGAAAGCAAACAAAATAAAACAGAATAAACCAAATAAAAATAAAATAGTGACAGTGATACAAGCCTTCAAAACAAGTTAATAGGACTTCAACAATGTTTGCCATAATATATTATGTTCTCTTTGCAATAGCTTCTTATGTCATCAGATATAAAAATCAAACAAAACAAAACAATAAAACCAAAATAAATAAAACAATGAAAATGATATGGGACTTTAAACCAAGATAATTGGGAGCTGTACTTTTTATTGTTGAATAGAAGTAGTTTTCAGTATGAGACTCATCAAGTTAAGTATTTTGTTTGTGTTACTGTGTGCTCATTTAGTATTTTTTGTTTTTATCAGTTCTCTGCCTGGACATGTTTTGTATACAATTTGTCGTCACTGATGTCTCTCGTTCCTACTACCACCTCTTTTAAGCTTATAGTGGTTTATTTTTTCCTTCATCTGTCGTCTCCCTCCTTTCCTGAAAGTCCTCATGTATCATAAGGATATGTGGATATATTAACTGTAGTTCCCTTTGGTCTCTCCTTAGGGTGTGTGTGTGTGTGTGTGTGTGTGTGTGTGTGTGTGTATACAGGCACTCAAACTTCTGGAAATACCTGGGAGTTTATCTAAGTTCTCTATGGCCAGCTTATCTTTCAGATGTCTTTGCCAAGTTGTGCTTTGTTTGATCTTTGTCTCAGCCAGTACTGCAGCATCTGGCAGGCGTTATGTTGCCCTTTGGCTTTTCCCACTGATTACTGTTGCTACAACCTTTCTGCACATGGAATCTTTCTGTGCATTCTAAATTGTATGTAGCTTTCTTATGGCAACAAGTCTGGTCCGCATCAGATTTCATGATGCAGCCAGAAAAGAGATGAGCACATTCCCACATTAAATTCTCATCATTCTCACTGTTTTTACAGGGGCTTGTGTGGTTGCTTATGAATTTTTCTCAGTGTGTGTTGTGCCTTTACAGATTTGTACTTGGTTCATTGAGACAGGACATGTGGTGCTCACTCCTCTACCATTTGAGAAGTACTCCTCTGTGCAGTTCTTCTTCAAGAATTATAAAAGCTTTGAAAACCTTACTTTCAACAAACTCAAATATATATGTAGCATGATCAATAAGAATGATATATTATTATGAATATACTCAATTAGAATACCACCATTTGCTAAGTTGGATATGTTTTATGTCACAAAGTTAATAAAAGAATATGTGAGACCAAATGGTAGGGTCATGTGAGCAGAGAGGACTTTCCAATATCACTCAATGACAATTCTTCTGAAACATCAGGAAAAAATGCCATTGGCACTTTTGAATGCCTCCCCTTTGAAAAATTACTACAGGTACATAACTGCTGTACAGTACACTCTGAGTATGGTTCAACACTTTGAAAAATGTTGATCTGATAATTCTTCAACCTTATGTATATCTTATCTGAAGCCCAATAAACACAATTTAAATTAATGATTGTTAAGAGTTTCATTCTTCTAGCCACAGGACAAAAAGGTTTAAATAATAAGAGGGAAATAAGCCTCATTAGTAAAGACTAACAAGAGATATATTGATTGAGTGATTTGTACTCAATCTAGGGCAACACAAAATATTAAAAGAGAGGAGGAAAGTAGATAAGAAGAGTTTAATTAGGAGGGCTTGGAAGGAGTCACCACAAATAAGGTTGTTGTGGCTTTCCCTGCAGACAAAGGGCAGGTTCTGCCTGATATAGCCTCTGATGGGGGTGGAGCTCTGGGGACTGATGTGAGCTGATTTATTTTGTGGGAGTACAGGGGATTGGGTAAATCATGCATGAGCTTTCATAGAATTTTGGGAGGGAGAAGCCATAAGGGCTTCTGGGAAGAAGGAAGTATGCATTATCAAGGCACAGCTTTGAACCTTTGCCATAATGATTGTGCTATGTCTTAGATGGGGGATCTAACATTCCCATCTCTTTGGTGTTACGGGTCACTGTGGAATCTCTCTGGCAGATTCCTGCAGAGAAGGGGCATTGTTGTGGCCTAGGGTAGAAGAGAATGGGACTGAGGGGTCTGTTACATCCGAGTCTGTGAAGCAGAAATGTCCCTCAGTAATAGGATTTCTTTAGTAGTCAATGCCTCTATTCTGGCTTGGATAAATCGCAAGAGGAGCCTAAAGACATAGAATGCAAAGAGTAAAAAAGTTACTATGATAATTATTGGACCCATAATGGGCATTAGAATGGGAGCCCAGGATCTGAAGGAGTCCCACCATGAAGACCAAGGGGTGGCTTCTGGAAAATATTACTTCCCTCATATACCAGCTGCTAATTTTTTGACTTTTTGCTCCCAATCTTTGACTATACCTGATTGCTTGAGAAAGTAGCAGCATTCTTCTCCCACCATAGTACAGTATCCTCCTTTTTCTGCTGTGAGAATATCAAGTGCCCTGTCTTGTGAAGGACTACCATTGCAAAAGTGTTGATTTAATGTCCCAGTGAATTAATGCTTTGGGAAGCTGATGTTACAGTCTTTTCTAGATCATGGGATAATGTAGAATAGTAGCTGAAGCTTGTTCCCAACCATTTGTTCCCATCCCAATAGCTGCAAAGACTCAAATACCTGCCGATATTGAAACTAACTGTATGGTTCTGTGGTTTTGAGTGATATTTAATGTTTGATCATATGTGAGAGTTTTATTTCTCTTACAGAGAGACATGTGGCATTAAAAATCCAATAGTGCATGTGCTGGTCCAATATGCGGGGAGGTGGGAGTATGCTCCATTGCCACAAATGAAAAAGGTGTTTGGGGGAGGATGTTTGTAGAGTCTGTCTTTGAGGATTAATGATGTAGTGGGTACAGGCCACTAGGTCCCCCCAAAATAGCTCAGAGAGATCAGGAAGCAGGTTGGGTGCATGGGTTTGGTTAGAGTCTCTCAGAGTTGATTGTATGCAGGTGAGATTACATGCCAGGGCTGATTTGGAGCTATCTGGAGAAGGCCAGCAACTGGATATGAGGTTGTGTTTGGTTTGAGATTTGATTGGCTAAGTATTACAGGCTGAACCATGTAGATGTCTGCTGAAAAAGGCAAGCATAGCCAACAAGTAGTGTGTGAATAAATGGTCCTCTTTTGGAGCAAAGTGTAAGTCATATTGAGAATCTGGGTAGTGGTTGGTGAAATAAACTGATTTAGTTTTGTGTATACTTTCTTTGGGTCTTGAGGCATAAGGAGAGGAACAGGAGTAAGCCTTTGGATTAATATCTTTTTATGGTAAAGAATTGGTACCCTCATGGTGACTGCATGTGAATTGAAAACCCTATCTTTGAGCAGCTGAGAAATTGAGAGGGTCTTTTACAGTGAACAAAAGTCATCTGTCTGTGAATCTGTCAGGTTTAAGATTAGAGGAGGCATTAATATATTTGTCATTATTTTTGTAAAATCCCATTGGGCCACTTGAACCAATACTGTCACCACCCCAATAATGGCAGTGATCCTAATAGATGTTAAAACAGGAGCCAGGGCACAAGCTTTTGGGAGACATAATGAACCTGTTGGGAGGTCCCTGGTATTTGTCTTTCTGTGATGTCTTTTCCTGGGTTGGATACATCTTGCTAACTTTACCATAGGTGGAATCACCAGGTATACCAGATGAGGTCTGTTCCACTTTGGTTGAAGGGCTGAGCTTGAACCTGTGGACTTAGGAGTTTTAATATAAATTAGGTCCCTGGAGATTTGCCCTCAGAGAGTTGGGGGTGGCATAAGTCTGGGTGTTGGTGAAGAAAATGTCTAAGGATTGAGAGAACTGGGATTTAATTAGCTAAAGGAGGAATCTCAGTGAGTGAGGGTAAATTTTGTAAGACAAAGGGTCCACCATACAAGAGCTCAAATGGATTTAGTTGAGTGGGTGATCTGGGTATGGCTCAGAGTTTGGAAAGGGCTAGAGGTAGAAGTTGTAGTCATCATTGATTTAGTTCTATTAGGGGTTTGATCAGGTGTGCCTTTAAGAGACCATTTGCCCTTTCTATTTACCCTGAGGCTAGTGGATAATAGGGTATGTGATATTAAGGTTAGAGGACACTTGTAAAATCTGAGAAATGCAGGGTGGGCCATTATCAGATTCCACGTATTGTGAGAGTCCAAATCTAGGAATGATGTCTCAGAGTAAGTTATTGGCAACTATGTCTGCCATCTCTCTGGTGCTAGGGTAGGCCTCTATCCAACCTGAGAAGGTTCATATGAAATTAAGGAGTTATTTTATGTGTTTGTATGTGGGCATATGTGTGACATCTACCTGCCAGTCTTAGCCTGCTGTATTTCCATGGAACTGATGAGCAGGAAAATGTGGAGGGGGCATATGATCCTGCAGAGA